TTCCTTTTTATCTACTTGTGAATAATAGACACACTCACTACTTCCTCCACCATCGTTAAAAATATATTCCAGTCCTGTGCCCAGTTCTCACGAAGTATCTCCTCATTTGTACCCCACCCCAGTTCACTGAGTACAATTTTGCAAAGAGTCATCACCTTAATGTGCCACTCCTGAGGGGTGTGTGTGAGGTGTTTTGTCATTCACCCCCAAACACCATACAGGCTGCTTGGAAAGAACTATGTCTCTGCTTCTTATAGTTTTATCCTCCATTTTGCCCTCAGACCTCTGCTTGGCAAGCGCCCATTGATTCCTTCTCACAATAACTCCCCCATCTCCCCACAATCATTCCTAAGTTTCAGGGTTGAGTCTCCTTTCCTCATATTTACAAAACCCAGGCAGGTTGGGTTGCTGGTATGATGCTATCTGGGACAGTCTTATCTAGCTACAAAGTGTGAATCAGAGATTACACCACATAGGGCTGGTGCCAGCCAGGCGGGCTGCCATATTGCCAAGTAACCCAGTGGTTGAACCAGGTCGGGTTGAGTAACATGCACCAATGGGAAATGAGTTTATTAATCATGTAGCATAGTATACTGTTGACGAAAGTATAGCTCTGAAGGCCTGGTTGGACTGGAGAAGGTGCAGGTAGGGCTGGATGCTAGCTATGAAGACACCCAGTGACACTATCGTTCTCTGCAAATAGTCACCTGAAAAATACACTTGAAATCTGCGTGGAAACATCTAGTTTAGCAAAGAGAAGAATTATATGCTCAGTCATGAGGACCTTTCAGCCATCTTGGATTTCCTTTGTTAGAAAAGGATTCCTCCTTGTGGTTGTACATCAAGTTACAGTTCGGAATTTTTAAAGTTTCCTGAGGTGAGAGAAGGGAATTCAAGATGGCAGCCAGTGACCTAGAATTGTGTGGGTGTGAAAATTTAAGATTCCATACTGCATTCTCTTTATTGATCTCTCACTTCAAAAACATTCTTTTCTAAGGCCACAATCCACCTTCTCCACCCAGGTCTGGCCTCAAGTTCTTGGTAACTATAGCCAACCAGAAACACCACCCACATTTTTCACAACGATGGGCCCACACTGGGCTGGTAAGAATAGTTTCTGAGTGGGGATGCTGTGCTACATTTCTGTTACTTACTGCAGGCCAGGCCTGGTCAGCACCTTGCTGCTGAGACACCACTCCCAGGCCACTATGTGGTGCAACATTTACATAGCTCAGTATCATACAACAAGCCCTGAAACTTAGCTGAGACAGAATTTTGCAAAATGCACACAAAGAAGCCCAAGCGTGTTTTGAGGTGGGCAGGCAGAAAGGGAGAGAGAGGACAAAGTTGTCTGAAGACTGCTCTAGAATAAGCCTGTAGAACAAGGACGGAGAAGTGGACACAAAATGAAAAAGGAGGTTACATAGCTCCTCAAGAGAAATGGAGAGAGCACTGGGGCTGGCCAACAAACTAGTAGGGGAAGTTTCTGGAGAAGAAAGCGCATAGGACAGAGAAGCATCATTTTTATGGCAGAGAAGTTGTAAGATGTGAGGGGTTAATGCTATGTACAACATTCCCTGTATGTTCTCCAAATCCCAAATATTCTTTCTTCTCTTAAAAGCATTAGGTCCCTGGGTAGTTCATAAGGGCCGTTTTCCAGCCAGGACCATCTTTCCCAGGCAGCTGCACTAGGCCTGGAGAATCCTGTCCACAGAACTTTTAAACCTGGTTTTCCCCAATTACCTGACTACAAAAGACCTCCCAATCTTTCCGCTTATCTTGCCAACCCTCAAGAACCCTTCTCAAGTCTCCACCTGTTTTTCAGGCTTCAAAATCTTTAGCAAAAGCACCAGTCAGTGGGGCTGTCGAGACCCTGCAGGTCCTGACCTGGTGCTCCCTGTCACCACCAAACAAATGGTTCATAAGCCAGGAGAGCTCCTTCTTTTACTCTGAAATGTCCCCTGGAAGCCAGAGAGAGAAGGGTTGTAGAAATTTCCAGTCACTAGTCTGGACTCTCATGAGATTATCTCATCTGTCCACCTAATCTCTCAGGCAGTCTGAGTTTCCCAGAAGAGGGGAGGACAGACCCATCCTCTTAGAACCACAACGAACAGCAACACTGGACCCACACAGAATGCCAACCAACTTCCAATAACACCAAATTCCACATCGCCACATGGAGTTTTCAGAGCAAGAAGGGCAACACTGGGCATGAGAACCTATCAAACCAACCACCAGCCAAAATCAAAACAAGACAAAAAACAGGCCAAACCAAAAACTTTATGCTATGAAAACAAGGAATAAAATAAGGAGATTTATAGGCCGGCTGATTGTCAGCAAACACAATATATTTACTGTATTAGCATTTGCTCACAGTGCAAATGGTACAACATTACACCATTTCAATATTTCGGTTTTTAAAAATGCTGTTTTCATTAACTATATTATATTGGCATAACAATATGACAAAGGAGCAAATGAAATGTTGGTGAAGAATTTCACCTTTTCACAATATCAAGCATATTTTTTTAACCTTAGTATAAGGTACTATAAATCCAAGAAATAAAAACATCCACAAAATATATTACATCTGGTTTGTCTTTTTCTAAGTACTCAACTTTATACAAAAGTCTTTCAAAAAATATCATTCCCTATAGGTTTTCCTGTTTAAAACCTGATTTTTTTTTCTCTCAGTTCACATAAGTTAGAGTGCATTTTCTTTTGTTGTTTTTTTTAAAACATGCAGACATATAAAAAATCTGGATAGCACAACCTTTTGGCAACAAAGTTATTTTTCTCTTAGTTTAGCTTAAATGTCTGAGAACAGTTTTATTAAAACAAAGGAAAACTCAGAGTTATCATGCAGTGACATGCATAAACCAGAAGGAGCAAGGAAAAATATTAAAGGATATCTGATTCCTCCTTCCAGCTTGGAAGTGACCAAAATTTTTGCTTTTAATAATCATCACATTATAAAAAGTATTCAGCAAAATACTGTCTCTGCAAAGAAAGATTTTACCCTTCAGCTGAAAAAAAAAAAAAATATGGGCCCTCTTGGCAAATTTCCTCTTCTTTCCTTCTACAAAAGTCCAAGTACCTGGAAATCCACAATGTCCCTGCGCTGTGATTTTTTTTTCCCCCTTTCACTAACTCCTTTTAGTATTATTTATCCACCACCACCCCCCCAAACAAAACAAAACAAAACAAAAACCCCACAAAACTGGTGCTTTTTTTTCTTAAAAAAAAAAAAAAAAGGTGGGAAACGCATAAAGTGACTTTAAAAACAGACATTCTGTAAACTCCAGACCTTTGTTCCTTCTCTCCGGGCAGTTTACTGACCACAGGAGAAATCACGCTAATAGGGAACAGTACATTCAGTCAAGACTGTGCTGGAAGCTGTGTCCAAGAGCAACCTTCCCTACTGCTCCACTTCAAGAGCCTCGGTGTGGAGAAGGGCTGGGCGGAGGGGGTGCCTGAGAAGAGGTGAGGTAGGGCGGGGAGAAGGCGAGAGAGGGGTCTGGACAAGGTGTACCTCATTCATCAGCATGGATTAATGCAAAAATCCCCACATCTTTGAGGAAAATTTGGACAGAGATGTCTCCGTGTGCAGGTCTGCATGTGCATGTCTATCGCACATGCACACACAGAAATAATCTCATCAATCCCTTTTTCATAAAAATACATCATTTAAAGCTGTACACACCTACAAATTCTTTATTCCAGTGCACTGCACTGGAGCCTCAAGTACCTTAGCGATTGTATTTTCTAGGCATCCATCCTGTGGGTATGTCAGAGAGATGGACACGTGTGTGTACACACACCCTGGCATACACACGCGCACGCCCTGTACAGAGATTTGATTTCTGCCCGTTGTTTGGGTAACGAGAAAGGGCAGACTCGGGCCGGCTTTCTCACCTGTGGTGGCAGGAGAAACGGGGACGTGAGAGAAAACAAAAAGATGGCCAAGTGGGGTGGCTGTAGGAGACCTGCCTTTCTGGTAAAAAAAAAAAAAAAAAATTAAAGAGGTGGGGGAGAAGGCTCGGAGGGGAGCAGTGGCGAATGGGGGCAGAGGCCAGATGCAGGAGCACAGATACTTTAAAGAAGGGCCGAGGGAACACGGTTCTTGAAAGGCAGGTTCTGGGAAGGTGGTCCTTCTCCCCGCAGATCAGACTGCCCTGAGGCCTAAGAGGGAAGAGCTCGGAGTGGAGGGGCTCTGAGGGGCTAACCCCCAAGCAGCGGTGGCAGCACCGCGGCGGCAGCATCCGAGGCATTTCTGTAAGAACCGCTTGCGAGCAGAGGGAAGACCCTCTCCCCCGGCCACGAGCAGGCCCCCAGCTGGGACATCCCCCGGCGCTCGGGGACCCGGGATGGGGAAGAGCTAGGAGTGGACACAGCCCAGTTCAGCTCAAGAGTCTTGCACATCCACACACACACATCCACACGCGCGCGCGTACACACACACACTCACACGAGCACGCACTCTCGCGCGCATCCCCGCACGCAGGCGCGCGTGCGTGCGACGGGCAGCAAGCTTTGCGCTTTGGTGCGCTCCTGATCCCCTCCCCCTCTCGGGTCTTCGAAGGGGAACCGAGGAAGACGTGGGGTGGGGGGGACCGTGAGGTGCTCGGGTCGGGCGAGGTTTGGGCGGGCCCGCCCTCAGTCCCCCCCTCGCAGGTCCTTGGCGCGGCCCAGCGGCCCTTGGATCAAGGCGATCCGTACTGAACAAAGCGGGCTAGACGCCACCTTTCCGCCCCCACGCCTTGGCTGGGAGGTGGGGGTGGGGGGGCAAGCGAAGGGAAGGCCCCTCGTGCCCTGGCCCCCGACTGTCGGCCAGTGTGAAAAGGTGGAAACAGGGGGGCGTCGAAGGGAAACAAGGGACCTTACGTCCATGGAAAGGCCAGGGCGCGGCCCCTGCGCCTCCGTGGCTAGCTTTCCAGCTGCTTCAGGCGAGCAGCCGGGAGACACTAGAGGGAAAAAGTGGGGACCTGGGGGCCGGAGCCTCAGGCGCAGGTGGTGACCACAGGGGCCAGGGACACCGGGGGCGCCGAGGACGCAGAGGGCGCACCCCCTTTCTCCGCCTTCTTTTCCTTTTGCTTGAGGTGGATCTTGGCGTGGCGCTTGCGCTCGTCGCTTCGCGCAAACTTGCGCCCGCAGAACTCGCAGGCAAAGGGCTTTTCGCCCGTGTGCGTGCGGATGTGAGTGGTGAGGTGGTCGCTGCGGCTGAAGCTCCGCATGCAGATCCGGCATTGGAAGGGCTTGTGGCCCGTGTGGATGCGCAGGTGCCGGGTCAGCTCGTCCGAGCGGCTGAAACGGCGGTCACAGCCCTCCGCGGGGCAGGCGTGGGGCCGCTCGTGGAGCGGGGTCTTGCTGGGCCGGTTGGGGTACTTGCGGGGCCGGATGGGCTTGAGCGTGAGCGGCGGCTGGGGCAGGCTGCCGAAGCCCGGGTGGATCTGCTTGTCTTTGAAAGCCTTGATGGTCTCCAGGGGAGTGATGGGGGGCGGGTTGACCCGGATGGGGTCCATGCCCTGGAAGGGCTTGTGCTCGGGAATGGAGCCCATGTCGTTGGGGTGGTGGTACAGGTTGTAGTCAGGAATCATGGGGAAAAGATTGCTGTCCAAGGCCGGCTTGGCCGATTGGTAATCCTGGGGGGAATAGGCGAGCCCCGGGTTGCCCTGGGGGTCGTGGAAAGACACAGGCTCCGAGTAGAGATCACTGCAGTTAGAATAGGGGGGCAGCGCCGGATACATGGCCTCCACATCGCCCTGCGGCGGCTGCACCATGCTGGCCGTGGAGGTCTGCGTGCTGAGCGCCCCTGAGGCCGGGGCACCCCCAAGATGCCGGCGCTCATGAGGCTAATAATGTTGTCCTGGCACCAGTTGGAAGGGGAGTCGAAGGCGAACTTTCCCAAGTAGGTCACGGTCTTATTGCCCGGGGCCGGCTGGAAGGAGCCCGAGTAAGAGAGCTCCGGGTTGGGCTTCTCGTTGGTCAGCCCGATGTCCATCACATTCTCTGCGGAGAGCAGGGAGAGAAGGGAGGGAGTGAGTGGAGTCGAGCTGGCGCGGGGCTCCCGGGCTGGGGCGCCTAGGTCCTTGCCCAGGTGTGGAGGGTGCGGCCGGGCGGAGCGCGCAGCGCGTGGGGTAAGAGGAAGGCTGCGCCCGGCGCAAAGCGGGCGGTGCCGGGCTCCCGGGCGCAACCTGGATACAGCAAAATACTACGGATCGGGGTGTGGAGTGGCTGCCGCACACACACCGCACACGCCGCGCACACACTCACGCATCACACACACACGCGCGCGCGCGAGAAGCATTGTTGTTCCTGCCGAGGTGGGGCGGGAGGTAGCTGTAGCTACAGGTAGTTTCAGACCCGCAGCGCGCCCGGCTCTCGCTCTCCAGCGCACACAACTCGGCCTCTCCCCCCAGCCCCGTCCGCGCCGGGACGCCGCACCCCTCCAGCAGCGACGAGCCCAGCCCCCTCCCCCCACCCCCCGGCACCCCGCCAGGGTGGCTGACCCCCGGGTCCGACGCTTTGTCCTCCGCGCGTGGAGGGGTGCTGCCCGCAAAGGCATCTCTCCAGCCGCCTCCCCCGGCCCCGGCCCCGGCCTCCGCCCGGCCCGAAGCAGCTCCCGCATCTCCTAGCGGGGGGAAGCCCGGCCCCAGCTAGGGAGGGTGCAGGGCGGCGGAAAATGGGCCCTTGTCTCGGTGCCAAGCTCCTAGAACCGGGACGGCCCCCCGCGGCCCCCGGCGCCTTGGGCCCGCGCCCGCTCCCCGCCGTCCCCACACCCCCACGGCTTTGCTGAACGCCCCGGAAAGGCAGCGTCGCAGTACCTCTCCCACCGCGGGGACTCCACGCCGCACATGGCTCCATCCCGGGTGGGAGGCTGAGGGAGTAAGGGGGGAGAGCGCGGGTGAAAGGGACGCAGGGCTCCTCCCGAGAAAGGGGGGCGACAGTACCACGCCTTTCGCGCAGCCCGGCGATCGCGCCCCTGAAGTGGAGAACCCCGGAGCCGCGCGCACATACCTCCCCGCGGCCGGCGGCGTCCCCCACCCGAGCGAGCCGAAGCCTCCGCCGCGGCGTCGCCAGCCGAGCCTCCCCGAGCCGGGAGGGCGGGAGGAGTGGGTGGGAGAAGCAACTCGCCCCCCAGAAAATTCCCAGCGCGCCCCCATCTCGCCTCCCGTCCCTCCATCCATCCGGCGGCCCCTGCGCGGGTCCCCCGCCGGCTCCGGCCGCCGCCTCGCCCCGCGCCCGCGCCCGCCGCGCGCCGCCCTTACCTGTAGCCATCTGGGTGTAGTGGGCCACCGCGTCGCCGCCGCCGGGGAAGAGGTTGAGCGCGCTGGGGATCTCCTCGGGGTACAGATTGTCAGGCAGCTGGTTTAGCAAACTGCTCATGGTCACCGGCAGCTTCTCGGCGAGTTTGCCGGTCATAGCAGTCGCCGCCGCCGCTCGCTCCTAACGCAGCTTCCAGGCGCGCGGCATCCGAGAGGCGATCCGTGGTGCAGGGGAGAAGCATGCGAGAGGGAAAGTTCGGGGGGAGGGGGAAGGAAGCGGGGAAGGGATGGGCCAGGGGAGGGGATCTTCTCTTTTTGGGGGGCGGGTGGGGGATAGGGCCAAGGGGGGTGCTCCGCGGGCGCCTCGGCCGGGGCCGTTTGGGCTGGGGTCGTGGTGGGAGGGGGGCGTTGTGTGAGGGGTGGGGGCAGGGCCGGGGGTCTGGGTCCGAGGGGGTCCGACGCGGCCTCGGTATTGATCTCACAGACAGACGCGCGCCCGCGGCCCCCCCGCCCCCCGATCCGCCGGTGCCACCGCCAACACCGCCGCCGCCTCTGCGCTGCTGCTGCCGCTGCTACCGCCAGCGCAGCCCCGCCGCTCGCTAGCGAGCTCTCTGCTGCCCAAAGCTCCCAGCCAGGGAACTCCACCAGCCTATTTATCCGAGCCCCGGGAAAGCTCCGTGACGTAGCTGCCCATATATGGACAGACAAAGCCCAGCCGAAGGGGCGCGACGTCACAATGGAAGCTCCTCACAATGGAACATTAGAAAGCAGGAAGCGGGCCGCAGCCGACGTGCGGCGCCCGCACCGCTAGCGGATCTTTGAAAAAAAAGAGAGAAAGGGAAACAGAAGAAAGAAGGAACATTCGGGAGGAGAGTGGAAATGGGGGGTGGCGCGCGAGGCCGGGAGCGGAGCTCGCAGAGCGCGGCTGGCTGGGGAGCAGTGGCCGCGGCCGCGCGCGGGGTCTGCGCGGGGAGAGCGCGCTCGCCGAGTGGGGGGCGGGCGGGGGAGTGTGCAAGCGGCCCCCAACACTCCCGCCAGGAAGAGGGAAAGTTGGAAACACCCAGTGCTGTCCCTCTGCAGCCCGGTAACTTCTGGGGAACCCGGAAGGTGTGCGCTCCGCCCCTGCGCCCCGGCCCCCCAGCGCTCGGGACCGTGGCCGAGCGCGTGTGTCCCTGGGAGGGCGGGTGTCCCTTTGAGGTGGGTCTCGGCGTGCCAGGGGAGCTCGAGGCCAGGCTCCCCGCAACTCCTGCGCCGCCCTCGCTGTGATTCGCCGCTCGCGCCCCCGCCCCGCCCCGGCCGCTGACCCAGCGCTGACTTCCAGGTGAGCGCAGAGGCCGGGGAGCCGCCGCTGCAGAGCGGCTGCGCCGCCGAGAATTCCGCTCGCTTGGGGTGGAAGGTGTGCGGCTTGGGTGATGGAGAAGGCACGAAGTGGAGGGGATAGGAAACACTTCCAACAACGCCCCCCGAAAAACTCCCTGGCAGTTCCGAAGCACCCCCTTTGGCCACGGGATGGCAGGAGGGGCTCGGCAGGCCCGGGCGCGGCGGCTCTCTTCGAAGAGCCCGCCATGGAGTTGCAGGAGGAGCAAGCCGGAGCCTCCGAGCCGCCGCCGGGCCTTCCCTGGTCCTCACCCCCCTCTCCCCACCCTCGTCTGCCACCAGGCTGCCCCCAGCACTGCCTGCCGGCGCCTCGCAGCCCAGGGCCGCCGGCTCGCCGACCCCGAGAGCTGTCACTTCCCGGGCGGCAGCAGATCCCGGGGGCGGCTGGCACGTCCCCCGGGGCCTGCTCCCGAGCGCGCGCGGCTGGGCCGCGGGAGCGGGGAAGGGGAGGCAGGGAGCGCGGGGGATCGACCCCGAATCACACCGGCTTGGCGGGGGAGGATTCCCCCCTCTGTGGCCGCGTGGGTGTGGTGAATCCCGCGTCCCCGGCCTGGGAGTCGGGCTGGGGGGCCGTGCGCTTCTCGGGGGGAGTGGGGGTGTTGACGAGGAGGGCGTGAGGATCCCCGGGCCTCGCGCCGTGGGAGGGCCGCGCGGGCCAGGGACGCGTGGGAGGAACTCCCGAGCTGCACATCGCGGTGGGGGTGGATGACAGCCTCGCTCCCCTCCCCGCGGGGGGGAACTGGAGGTGGGAGCGTCCGCCTGGCCTCCCCCGGATCTTCTCCGGTTCTTAGGAAAGGAGGGATTCCCGCCGCCCGCGAGTCCCAGCGCCCCCACCCTCGCCGCGGCTCCCGCGAGGCTCCTCCAGCTACACGGGGCGCTGCAGCGCCCCCGGGCTCTGCGCCGCCGGCTGGGCGCGGAGAGCGAGCGCGCCGCCGCGGTCCGGGGCTCCGGCCGGAATCAGGGCTTGCGGCGGCTCCCGCCCCCGGCTGCAGCCCCAGGGGGGCGAGCGGCTGGCCCGGGGGCGTGGGCGTTCGTGTGAGCCCGGCCGGGCGCGGGAGGGGCCCTGGAGGCTGCAGGGAGGGTCGCGGGGCGGCGGGCCAAGCCGGGAAGAGCCATACAAGGAGCGAATCCGGTGACGCGCCGGCCGCGCCCCTTCTCCTTCTCGATTTGGCTGTAGATTCCGGTCCCCGGATTTGCATATTTTGGCATCCAGTGGAAAAGGAAAGAAGAACGGAACCCGCAGCCTTTAAAGGAACCGCACAGGCCGCAGCGTCACCTCGGGAGGCGGTCTTGGGGGGGAGTGAAAAATTAGCAACTCTGGCCACTGGCCGGGGATTCTGGCGGCAGGGGGTCGGCGGCGACTTAGGACCTTTGGGTAGCTCCGAATCCCGGTCCTGGCCCCTCGGCTGCGCTTCCTGTTGCAAGTGCACCGGGCGGTGCCTGGGGGTCTCCGCCGGCTCCTGCCCGGGACTTGGAGGGGACGCCAGATCCACGGCCCAGGGCGAGCGGCAGGCCCGGGCGTTAACTGCAGTGCCCACGTCTCCCCGCACGAGGCAGCTTAGCCTGCAGGGCTGGGGGAAGGAAGCCAGAGGCTTCTGGGTCACCCCGCGCAACTCCGGAGCCCCTTACCAGGGTGCACTTTCCGCCCCTCACCGGTTGGGACCTCTCCCCGGGAGAGTAGGGGCTGCAGATTCCGGTCCCAGCGGCCCGCGTGAGGAAAGTCAGAGGCAGTGGGAACCTTTGGTCTCCTGGAAAGCTCACAGGCCAGGGGGAAGGTGGGGCGTGTACCCACCCCAGAGATGATCTCTGAACACTTTGAGCCTCGTTGGACTAGTTGCACCCCCAAAGAAGAGCGTGTAACAGGGCTTGCCCGCCTGCCCCACTGCCGGCCTATATGTCGGTGAGACTGGATCCGAGTCTTCTGGGACAAGATGCCCATCCCCTCCTGGCTAGATCTGGTCACAGAACGACTTCTGTTCAGTTAAGTAGTGTTCATTAAAGTTTCACTGAAACCTTGGGTCCATTTCTGAATTTCTTTCTCATCCTCAGTTTTTTGTCTGTAAAATGGGATAATACTAGTACCTACTCCTTAGGAAGCATTACATTAGATAATCCTCATAAAATACTTATGTCAGACCCCAGCAAGCACTCAGTAAATGACAATTATTGTTACACCTAATTCTCCCCCGTTACACCATGTGCCAGAAAAGCCGTCTTCCCTGTGTGTCCTAGGAGTGAGTTTAGGTGATGTGGGAGTGCCAGGTGTGGAGCCCCAGCCCTTATCAGTGGGATCACATAAGAGAAGTGTTAGTGTTTATTATTTAGGGGGAAAGGAAAAGTCCTATTTGTACTCAGGTCCCTGCTGGGGACTCCTCCAATGCAAAGATGGCCAAGGAATGGGCCTTGCCCTGCAGTGCTCAGACAAGGGGTGAACTCTCAAAGCTGGTGATGACATAAGGCAGGGTACAAAGAAGACACTCAGTTGCTCTTTACCACCTGGAGCACCCTTCTAGCCTTTTGGAGAGGGCGGTTGTGGCTCCTGGGGTGAAGTGGGGGTCTGTGCCCTTCCCTCCTCTGCTATGGACAGAAGCATGTTGGGGAAGCCTCCCTCTGCAAGGATAGCTTCCCTCTGCACTGCCCGGCTCCTTTTCAGGTTGCTGTCCACAGAGGTGTTCCTTGTCACCCTGGAAGGCGGTGACAGAGGCCAGGATTCTGCGGCAGGAGGGGCAGTTCTGGCTATGCAGCATGGTATGGGTGTTTGGAGTGACTGCTCAGGGACTAATAGCATTCTTTGGTCTGCTCGGCAAAAGTCTTGAATTCAGCACAGAAAATACACTTTTCTCTTTTCCTGCCTTCTTCTTTCTTCTCTCCCTTCTCAACAGGGGCTGAGGGTGATTTGTCTCAGTTTTATTGGCGGGCTCTGGTGAGATTGCCTAAGGCCTAATTGCCTGAACTCCAAGCCCTGGACTTGTCGGGGAGCGAGTAGGCACTAGTTCAGGGCGGGCATCCTCACCCTGGAGATGGTGAAAGGCAGGCTGGCCCCTCCAGTGCACAGCCAAGGCCACCCAGCCCCCTTGCTGTCTCCCATGGAACCTAGTTAGCCTGGCCAGCTGAGCTTACGGGAACTGCTGCCATTCGTGTCGGTGGATGTGGATGGGTGTGTTTGTCTCTGCAAAAAGCTAAAAGGAGGAGAAGTGGATCTAGAAATCCATCACAGACGGCAAGGTTGCTGCTCTGCCTAGCTACTTAGTTCCACCATCACTTCTGAACTTTAGCTCCCCTTTAGTTAGTTGTTCTCTGCTGTCTTAGAAGACCACACCCCCATCCAATTAATTTGAACTGAGGTGTTAACAATTTAATGCATTGCCCCTCACTGAGGTTATTTGCGTTTAAAAGGAAATGCTTAGTTAGAGAGGGTGATACAGACCCCAAGGGGAAGAAGTCCTGTGTTTAGCATGATGCCTGGAAAATGATAGGTGCTCCTATGTGCTCACAGAAGAAGGTCTGATTGTGGGGGATGGAGCCCAATACGAAGGTATGGGAGATTCGGGGATACAGAGGGTGTCCTGGGCTCCTCAAATCATACGAGGCACTTGTGTACCAGGCTTCCCGGTGGGATTGCTCATAAATGACAATTCCCCATTGCTTTCCTTTTGGGGTACCCTTGAGGACCTTCACAAGAGATGGACAGGTCATCTCCCTGGCCAGTCATCCCTGCATTCTAGAGGTCATAGCCATTCTGCTATAATGAGAAGTCATAGCCATTCTGCTATAATGACATTTCTGAGTCTAGGTGCTTTTTGTCTGGAACTCGCAGAAGGGGATGTTGGCACACAAGAAGACTTTTTGAGGGTAGCACTCTGCGTTGAGTC